GCGGGCGGCCTGCCAGTAAACCCAAAGCAGAAGAAGACGAAGTGACGTCAGCGGCTTCATTTGCCTAATCCTCCCTCAGGTACTTATTCCGGTGTGAACGCGATCTGAACTAAATTCTGATGAACCTTTGTGGGAAAAGTACTGTGGTGTGAAAGCGCCTAATGAAAACATCTTAGACAACTTTAAGGGGAAACCTGGAGACTTTCAAAAGGTATGGCGTGGTTTATAAGGTTCAAGGTTTAAAGGTTTTATTGTCATATGCATAAAGCTACAGTGTAGAAATGGCAATTAAATTCTTCTGACCTGAGCTCCTCCAACAATGCAACATATATAATAAAATACAAAATCGTGCACAAAAGGCATATTGATATATATTGAGATTCAACAATATAACTACATTTTGACATTTGTGAGTCAGATATATCTCTCATTTTATTGGTCATTGTTTCTTTTCTTTTGTTTTTATTACTTTGTCATAAATAAATGTACGCACAAGAAGGGCTGTGATTATCGATTGTTCATTATTTATATTATTATGATTATTTGTTCACACCGCACACATGTAATGGGTCACTGTTGGCCGAGTTATTGTTTGTTTCATTTCCTTTGTTAAACATCGTGAAACTTAATTTTGGTACAGACTCTTTCTTGGCACGCTTCAAAGTCATAGGGGTAAAACTAATAACATTAACTAACTAATTGGGAGTTTACTCGCTATACTGCCTTTACGAAATCCAAGCATTAAAACACAAGCATAAAAATGATATATCACATCCTTCAGCTAATGTTAAGGAGATGTGCTGAAAGTATTTTTAAATCCAGATGAGAAAATGTGAAATGGACAAAGGTGGACGTTGTTACTGCAGTCCCAGCGTTTTAAATGTCATCGTGCAAACATTTGAACAAATAGCTTTTTACCATTTTATCGTGGACTCTGCTCTTATATCACTGGGTGAATGAATAAATGTGACTGGGCCTCTTTCGGCAATCTAATATGAAGAGTAAATATTAGGTTACAGTGTCAGCTCTTATAATCCAGGAGCAATATCTTCTGTCTAGACACATCGCACTGACACACACAACCCATTGTGGAGGAGCAGTTTTTCAACCGTGCAAAAACTATTGTTCAGAGTAAAGGGGAAAGCTAACGGCCGGTCCGTTAACATCAGCGACGTGCGGTCAGGGGAGGCAGAGCCATGTCATACTCCAATGTAACGGAAAAACAACTAAAGAAAAACTAAATAGTAATAATAATAAAATGTCTCCATTGATCTATGATGTAAGTGTGATTTATGTATGATTGCAATCGCTTTTTAAAGTCAAAATCAGCAAATTTGCCGAGCTCCGCTACAACTACGGGTAGCGATGAGAAGTGAGGCAGGGACGAGCTCTGCCTCACGTAAGCCCACAGTAATTTCCTGGAGCGCGGGCACTAATTTAGCGCGGGCACTTATTTTGTGAGCGCGCTCAAGCCAGTTACTGTGGGGTGAGGTGAGGCACAGATGAGCTCTGCCTCACCACAGAATGTGTCACCCCACAGAAACTGGCTGGAAAGCGGGCCCTAAGCGCATGCCTGTTACCATCTCACTGTAGGTCACCAATGTAATGTTTGTAGATCCCTTTATTACATTTATCCTCGCCATCCATAGTCTCTAAATAACTTATTTCACGTATATACGATATTTAGGCTCGCTGGTCTCATCATATAACGGCAATGAAAAAAGCAGCAGGGTAGGCAGCCATAACCTCTGCCGCACTGAAGGGGGCGCACATGAGCCCACAGGTTCTTGTTGCTCCTGTTATTCTACG